GTTATTTACTGGCCAATAACAACCAAATTTTTTAGTCTATGCAAAAATGTTAGTCTGGCAGCAAATCAGTTAGAAACAGTTGTGTAAATTGCATGGCAGGGTCTTAACACAGGGCTCACTTACCATGTAACAATGATAATGTGACTGACGAAATTCTGGACATTAGCTCTGTTATTGGGCTTTGCTATAATTCACATCAGCCAGCTGTATTTTTAATTTGCTATAAAATACTGTGCATATTTCTGTTGTGATTAAATAAATATGTCCAATTAACTTGCTTTTTCTGAATGCATGAAAAATAAAAAAATGAAGTAGGAAGGGGAAAAAAAAACTTCTGGCACTATAGTGTATTTTAATTCCTGTTCCAAAAGACTGACAGACTAATTTGGTCTTCCTACCATTTGTATAAAAAACAAAACAAAACCCTAGTTTATGTTCTACCAATGTGGAGTTCATAATTAATATTTTCTAGGAATGTTTTCTAAGAATATTCCAGGAAAGCCTCATATGATATGAGAACTCTGATTGTGAGGGGTGGTGGTGGTAGAGTCAGTTTTCAAATCTTAACTCATACATCTATCTTGAAGCTATGACTAACGCCAACGAAGGACATATATGACTTTGGAGCCGCTAAACTCTGAATCAGAGAATCCAAATAAAACTCAGCTGTTAATCTCAGTAACCTACTTCTCACAACTTGTGAATAGCAAAAGTATGTTGCAATATTAAACATTGGGGGAAGAGTCCCACAAAAATCCACCGTCAGATTAAGCTGTAATTAGTTCCTGCGCTCATTGGAACCTACTTTGCTATTTTCTAGATAAGAAAATTATAAAACTGCAAACATCTATGCCATACATCTTTACCCTTGTAAATAGAGTGGAAGAATAGGATGTGATAATGAAGTGGAGAAACCAGGGGGACAGTTGTCACTTTCACTATATGTGGGTGCAAAGTGCAAACCCAAAACGAGATGAGTCAACAGTTCAGTGGGTTCACTGATGAATAAACAGATGTTCAGCAGTAAAATGTGAATCAAAAGAATATACAGAAGATGTTTATTTTTTCTAATTCAGGTTGAGGCACTAGCACAGCTTAGGGATATTAAGATTTTAAGAATTCCAGTGAGTGCATTTTCATTTTTTTCCAAGCCATAATACATTTTTGTTTAAGAGGACTTAGAAACATCAACAAGGAGGGATTTTCCCCCTCATATAGAATATAGGTTGATAGCACAGTTGTAAAAGAACTGATTATTCTTTTTATATACACCATCTCTTCTTTAACTCCCTATTTGCTTAGGCCAAGAAAATTGACAAGCTTAGCATTTAACATCGGAAGCCCACAAACAAAAGCTTTGTATCTTTTCTTCTGAGTTGATAATACCGGTAGGTTAATATTTTCATCTTCAAAATTAGAATTTTTTTTTTCTTCTGTCTTTTTTATTTTTGCCAAGAAACCAATTGCTTATATATGTTTCAAACTTGGCAACTTTAAGATACGTGGACTTCAACTCTCAGAATTCTGAAGCCTGCATGCTGGGAGCTGATATTCACACATCTTAAAGCTGCCAATTTTGAAAAGCATTGTTCTAACTCAATCCACACAGAACTATTCCATTCCCCATTAAGTATCATGTTCAATTTGGCTCAATCTTCAGACAGACGAGACTAAGAAAACAGAAAGTCTTAAATATTTTAGCCTTACTGACCCTATTCCTCCTAGTATTATTACATTACTAAGTTTTTCCTGCCATATTTTCTTTCCATTGTTGTGCCTGAGTTATGCTGTGTTTGGCAGGAGTCTGCTATTTTGCAATGCCAAAAAAGTTGTTGCTAGCTCTTACCTTGTGTTCTTCAACTTTTCAGTTAAAGAAATTATAGTCTATGAAATATGGACTGTAATAGATTGATGAATTTGCTATTGATTCTTATTTAGTATAAATTGTGTATTCAAAATTTGAAGTCAACGAGAGAATTCTATCAGAGTTTGTCTGGTAATTCAAGGCTAAAATTTCACTTAATGGAGGAAAAAAATAAACCGATAAGGAAAAAAAGTTTACTGAAAACATATCGTCTAATGAAACAGCAGATTTTTCATATTAAATTGCTTTGAAAATCATATTAATCATACAGTGATAGTGAAGACAGGGATATGGATCCAAAAGTAAGTTAAAATAAATATTTAGCCCTGGCAATGCCAGATGTCTTTAATTTCTAGGGAAATTGTATATAAATGTTTGCAATATTAAATATATACATGCTATTAGCATTAATACTAATAAGGAATAAATGGTTAAATAAGTAGAAGTTGTAAGAATTTTGAGAAACTATGTAATTTTACAATTCACTATTCTGCAGACAGGGCAGTCAGATTACAGTTCAATTTCAATAGAGCTGACTTCAATAAGCTAAAAAGGAAAAATCCTGCAAAATGAAATAAAGGCGGCCCAATCACAAGTAAGAAACATGGAAGGTATCTGATGAATCTGGTATAGTTGCATGAAGTGCTTATTGACCAAATGAGAAACAAAAAGAAAGGGGCACATAACTAAAAGAGATTGTAAGGGAATAGCCCAAATTTGTAGGGATAAGGTCAGGAAGACTAGGGGTCAGAAAGACTGCAATGAACACCAAAAATAAAAAAGCATTATATGAATATATGCAAACAAGAGAAAAGTAAAGGAAGCAATGCTGTCTAGAGAAGATAGCGAGATGATGATGGCAACAGTTACTACTCCATTCCTATTTTGCAACTGCCTTTTCACAACAAGAAAATGTGGTCCAACCTGTCAGAAGCTGCATCATTGTAGGGGAGTAGGTGGTAGAAGATATAAGATAGGCTCAAAGCCTTCAAGTGCAAGAAATGCAAAGTTCTGCACCTAGTAGCAACTCCAAGATAAGCAGCATTAAATAAGCTACTAAAGATGGATTTTTTTGGGAGAGACTTCTCTTGATTTTATAATGCCATCTTAATTTTAATTGGTTTTCTACATTTGATGTAAGCCATCAAGAATCTTTTTTAATGCAATGGGATAGAAATATATTAAATATCTAACTCAACATAATGTTTGTGAGAAGTATCTGGATGTCCTGATAGAACACAAAGTAAACGTAAGTCAGAATTGTGCTAATCATATACTTCTATGAACCATTTTTTAACTTCTCTGCCACCTAGATAAAATGATAAGATCTATTTAGGTCTTGTAGTCTCACCACAGACCCCATTCCACCAAGGAGAGCAGTGAACAATAAAATACCCAAGATCTCAGGAAAACGAAATATGAATATGTCCTCTTTGGAGCTTGTTGATAAATATGGAAGATCATAGATTTATCCTTTTTTTTTTTTTTTTTTTTTAAAAGGAGCAATAGTAGAAGCTGAAAAAGATGCCACTCTAGAGATTTGGACAAGGGTGCTGTCTGGGTTCATCCAAGACCTACATTTGACAGCTATGTGTGTCCACAGCAAATAGGAATTAAAGTAATGAAAACATCAGTTATGACAGGTATTACAAAAAGCATGTTAGGTACAACATATTTAAAAAGCCTTTAGTTTTTTTTCTATATACTGTTGGGATGTGGCTTACAATGAGAAGCTGAATTTTTCACGCCTGGAGCACCAATATTATATAGTCATGATAAACATGCATAAAAAAATCAATATGCTATTTCTTCATAAAAAAGATTCTTTTTTAAAACAATAACTTGTAATATTCTAATTATGGCTGAAACATACTATGACATTTATTCAAGTTTTTAAAAATATTGGAAGCTATTGACTTGTCAGGAAAGAAAAATTAAAAATGGAACTGCCGCTGATCATGGGATATGTACATCAATTTCAACATGTTACTGTATGATTTATAGCACGAGATCACACACCCAAGCTCCTTCCTAAATTGCTCTATAAGGTGCTAGAAAACTAAATGTAAAGGTACCTTATCCAAGGAAGTACATTCAAATGCAATATTAAAATAATAGGAATTCTGACCCCTAGTGGCTTTTTTACTTCAGTGTCATAATTTGGTATTAGAAAAAGCATGGAATTCTTAACAAAGTTAAGAATTCGTCGTTTGAGGAAAAATTACCTATTGCATCTGATAAATAAGTCTTCTCCCCCTGGAATTCTATTCCTGGTGGCTTCATGAACATATAGTTTTTTGGGCTGCAAAATAGAAGTGACTTGCTATTGGCTTCCTGTGGGATGTTGGTTAAAATTCCCAATCTAATTTATAGCCCAGGAAATCCCTAACAGTCTCCCACAGAAATACAGACCAGATCCAATCCTACCAACTTTCTTAGTACAGGTAAGATCAAAGAGATGCTACCACCCGCTAAAACCTCTCTTGACTTCAATCAAATAGAATGACTATTTGAAAAACAAATTCCCTAGGAACAAACTGGGATCAATATAATAAACCATTTTTTAAAAGGAGAAGAGCAAGTCTTAACATGCTTTGCTAACCATATACTGCATCATATTTTAGAATCCACCAAACATTTTATACTCTTTTATTGAGATTAATTTTATATTTGATTGGCCACTACCTATATAGCTATATATATCAAAGTGGGTCACTGGCTAGTGAAGATCTGTATTTTATTTGTATATATCTATACAAATAATCTATATATAGATTATATATAATCTATATTTAAAAAATTACTCCAAATATTTTTAAAGCTTACTTTTATGATTATGGAAATAAATCCAGTTCTGTGGGTATTTTATGTAAAAGAAAGAAAGAAAATACAAATAATGCATTTACCATTATTCCAGACTCCCCTTAGTTATCAAGTATAATTATTACCGTAGTTCAGCCTTCTCTAACTACAGGTCTTCCAATTGGTTGGATCATAATAATTCTCAGTTAATCTAGGTCATTTCTAACAAGAGTTACAAGAGTTACAATCATGCACATCTAGATAGAATTGAATTGAAAAAAATGAACTGTATTATGTCATGAAATCTGGAAACTTAAAAATCAAGAAAACTCACCAGCCTCATTGCCAAAAGACCCTGGGTCAGATGCTCCAAGGGAGGCTTCAAATTCTTCCTGAAGGCGGTAGGCTCTCTGGAGCAAAAGTTCAAGCTTATGTATAAACTCTGCACTAATGATATCCTGTAAATAAAAATTGCAAGATATAAACTAATATTTTAAGCAGCTAATGGAATTGCTGAGATGATTTGCTGGTTTGATTTATTTACTGTGGTGATTAATTATTTATGCTACATCATATGCAAGAACAGCAGGATTGGAAGAATTAAATAAAGAAGCAGCTAGGTTATTAACCCAATCAAATTAGTCAATACCAACATGTTTACTTCTAGATATATCCTACAGGACAAAAATGTTCATTTGAGATCATGAAGCTTCCAATAAATAAGTTTATAATACAACACAATATATATATATATAATGTACGCGCACGCACGCACACACACAAACACACACACACAAAATATTTGTCCCTAATCAATGAAATGTTTAAATTTTTTTTGAGTTTATGTGTAGTTATTTTTAATACTTCAAAACCATTATGGGCAATCATCATATTAACACAAGAATTGGCACATAAATTTTTAAAATATTTTTGATGCTAAAATTACAACAAATAGTACAATTTGATATTGAGGAAGAATGACAATATAAGCAACATATTCCTTGGAGAGCATTCATTTAAATTACAGATACAAGCCGTTTTTCTTAATGTCTTCAGTGGAAAATGGAATATACAGTTTTAACCCCCTCCTACATTCATATAACAGCATAAAGTTACCTAATAAGCAGCAAATGCTGTGTACTGACATTTTCTTACTGGCTTCCAGGTCTGACACGTACCTCTATCTGTTCTTCTGCAATAGCATCACCTGCTCCAAGCTTGATGGCACCACAGCTGGCTTCATCCTCAACTTGTCTGTTACGAAAAGTCAATGCCTGTTCCCATCGTTGTAGTGCTTCTTCAAACAGCTCCATCCCTGAAAAAAATGATAAAGCTTCCTTATAATCACACATTTTCTTTATTTTATCTGCAAGTGTGAATCACTCTTCCTTAAGCACACTGTACTAGATGTTCTGGATAGGAAACCCTGAGAGAAAGTGTCAAAATACTACAGCCCACAAAAGATCTGCATTCAATTAGCTGTCCTCTCCTCCCCAATTTATTTTCCTGGTGTATTGGGAACATCCCAACACACCTTCACGCATGGTCAAAAGGGTTAATTAGATGGATTTAGATTCCATTATACTGAAGTGTTTCAGAATAAATACCTAATATTCTTAAAAGCATAAGATTGAGTGGGCACATTGAGACCACAGAAATCAACCTTCTGCTTTGTGCAACAACCCATCCTAAACTAATTCAGGGATTTGAAGAATACTATCATGACTCTTTTGAATTTTGGTGTTGGAGTAGATTCCTGAGACAGTCAATTAAACAAATAAATGGATCACTGAACTAATCAAGCTAGCATTCTCAGCTGAGACACAAATGGCCAGGTTCACATTATCCTACTTGTGACACAGTGTGTAAATACCTAGCTCTCTGGAGAAATCTCTCATGCTGGGGAAGGTAAAAGAAAAGAGAATAACCAGCAGCCAGGTGAATGGACTCAGTTACAATGACAGTGGTGCACTACTAAAAGACCTGAAAGACCACGCTAGAGATATATCATCATGGACAAAATCTATGTGGTTGCTAAGAATGAACACTAAGTTGACGGCATATAATCACTCAATCCATGTTATGAGATTCAATAAGAAAGCATTTTGTGAATTTGCATCAGTATCTATTAAACCATAACTTTTATTTAAAAGAATTCTAATTGTTCTTTACATCAGCATTTCATACTTTTGCACTGAAAGGTGAAGTGTTTTAAAATATGTTTATTTTATTTTATTATACTGTACTTCTAATAATAATACCATAAATATTATATATTTACCCATCAAGTATAAATTTTCTGGAGTAGTTACTGGAATATTGACTAGCTTCATATTATCTTCATCTGTTTTATCCCAGGAATTAGAATTCACACAAACACAACTAGGACAAGAGATGGCACTGTGGGCCTAATTTTAAAAAAATATATCAATATTTGCATGTAAGCTAAGGGAAATATAACAATATATTTCTAGTAGTTATATTTTACTCTTTGGTTTCATGAACAATAAGTATAAAAATTGGTTTCATAAACAATAAGTAGAACAAAGTATAAAAATCACAAATAATTGTGGGCCTATAATAACTGACTTCACTATTCTAGGAAAATAAGTAACAATTTATTTGAAAATATTCATATACTATTTTTAGTGAAATGCTTTTCAAAAAAAGAGAAGTATGTGAATACAATACTTGTTTTTTATAAAGAGTTCTTCAAGCAAAGAAAACAACCATCTGTTTTTCATTCCTAAAATACATATAATAGTTCTCAATAAATCACACTTACTGAGGCCAAACTCTGCATAGAACCAGAATATTTATTGAAGAGATCACCACTGGCATGGATGTAAGATTGAAAACCTTTTTCTTTGATGGAATTCAGTGAAAGTGTTAGATTTTGTTTGCTACTGGAACAACTAGAATCTGAGGACGTAAAGAAGATGAATAATAGTTTTAGCTTATGTGCATCTTCTTTTTCATTAACTAAGGAAAAAGACTTAAAATAAATATTATTTTAGAAATACATGTATATGTTATCAACGCTATACGGATGGGATGGATGAGATATTATATATGTGAGCATGGATCATGTTTTTGTCTATTGTTTTCTGCATGGAATTGTGCACATTTTATGGACAACATGATTTGAGACTGTGAAGTAAAACCACTATTTGGTGCATGGTATTTAGTTTATTAGTAAATATTATAGTGGACCTAGAATTATATGGAGACAAATTCAATTGAAAATGAGATTATATGGAGGGCAAAGGCAAAAATAGAAGGGAATTGTTGCCATGGCAGTAGTCAGATAAGCAGGGCTTAACCCAGGCAAAGTAACTTGAGAAAACATCTCAGTTAAGATACTTCATAGTTCACGTGAAATTAGACTGAGAAAAAGAAAACTTATTCAGATTTGCAAGATTTTTACAGAATGGTTGGGATCAGCCTACAATCACTACATAGTCACAAATGAACTAAGTCTATTCCCCCTTGACTGCCATTGAAGCTTCACTAACTCTAACCAAATACTGATCATTAGTTGAGAAAATTCTTACGCATTGGCTTTTAGCAAAAAATCAGTTAAACTGAACCTTCACATGTAGGCCTGGTCTTTCACACCTCACAATTCTGTTACTATAGCTGTTACAATAAAAATAATCCTGACTTACATGGTATTGCTTTCTTAGTCTGGTCAACCATATAGGGCTAGATGTTAGATTGTACAAGGCTGAAAAAATAACTATTTATATTTCAATTGTAATCCAATACATTTCCAGTTGCATAGGATCATTTGAGACCACGCTCTACTTATTCAGTTTTACTTGTTTCCATGTAGTTGTGAGCTATGCAACATAGACCTCTGATACGTCTTTGAAAAGAAATCTCACTTCAGTAAGGCTTACTCCCAAGTAAGTGTGTTATCAGGTAACTCTCTTTTGACATTAGCTTTCAATAGAGAAAATGTCACTTACTTTTCTCTGACCCAGAAGTTTTTGCATAATCAAAAATCAGACGGTCTGATTCCCATGGAGATAGCTTCCTGGTTTTCTTCCCACGTTTTCTTTTGAAGTGATGAGCAAGGAAAATCACAGTTATGGCACTTACTGCTGTTATCGCAAATAGTTTCTTTAGCCCTGGTGAGATTTTAATCTTAAAACAAATAGTTTTAAAAAAAGTTATATTACTTTTGTGCAGAAATACAAACAATTTACTTTTATAAGCCTGTTACATTCATGTATTAAATATGAATTCTGTGTTCAATAATGTAATCACTTCTATCAACACATTATTTAGCATATTTTAAATCGAACTGTAATTTAAAAAGAGTACAGACATTTTTAGAATCATAGTCGCCCTACTATATGGCAAGTATACTAATTCCACTTACTTTATATTTGAGATGAGTGAATTTGTTTGTAGTTATTTTGGTAAAGTAAATGTCTTATTTTTTGCACTACATCCAGGAAATCCAAAAAGACAATTTCAGTTGCCATGCCCTACTACCAGGGACCTCAAAATATGTGCTTGTGCATGAAAACAAAGGTGAAATTCGAAAATACCATAATTTTCAATGAAGAATCTAATGAATTGTAAAAATCTGTATACCGGTAGTTAGATATGCGAATGGGAAGGAAAGGAGGAGGCACAATGAAAATTAGCAATGTGTGGCAGGAAAATTGGGAAGTGGATGGAGCCCATAGGAGAATGGGAAGAAAAGAAATAATGTGAAGATTGATAGGTGTTAATAGGAAGGTTATGGTGTGCTGGCTGATGAGAAAGAAAGAGGAAAGACACTATAAATGTTACGGAGCAATGGACAGGAAAAAGGCAAGCAATACTCCCAATGTGCATCTCTGCTTATGCAGTGGAAATATGGATTGGAATGTAAATACATTTTATTTCTGCTCTGTTATATTACATTGCATTCTCATTAATTTGCTGTTAAAAGAAAAAACATTTCTGGTATTTGTAATTAAAGGCAGAAATTAATAATTTTTGCTATTTAATTATGAATTGAGTGTTTTTTTTAAATGGCAGGGTTGGCTTAAATGACAGGGATAAGAGTCCCTAAAAAAAGTAAGACGGGGTACAATATCCAAAATTTGGAAACCCTCGTCCAATTCTTGATCCGTAGTTTTATCATGTAGAGATTACTTACTGAGAGTTCCCAGAATACCTGAGATGCAGCGAGAAGAGCCAAAGGTTTTCTGCAGGAAACCTTCTTAAGGAATGTCTCCTCGTTAGTTATAAGAACTGCACTCTCACTCCTAATATTCGGGAAGTTTTTACAACACGGCTTTTAAAATATGTGTTAGGGGTCTGAGGTAAGAATGGGAGATGTACTGCATTGGGATGAACCATATATAATGTACATTTTCCTATATGTTGTTCAAAGTTGCACACTAGAAACAACATAAAAGGATTTGGAATCAGTCAATCCGTAGAAGCTGGAAATGTTCCACTGTTAAACTTTTAGTGGTATATAAAGTGACTAAATGGATCAAAACTACATGGGCAATATGTCATTGAATCGAATGTATTTATTCATCCTATCTATACAATGACCCATCTGCCAAAGGCACTCAGGATGACAATCAAAAGTAAAAACAAATCAAATACATAATCCATTACATTACAGTAGGGGAAAAGGTCAAGATCAAGGTTCTTAAAAAAAACACCTCTCAATAGCAAATAACAACAGTATCAGAGCTCCATTAATACTATAGTCCCAGTTCCTAGGGGAATAACTAGGTGTTCTGGAAGGTCAGCAGTCTCAGGAATGTTCATTATCTCAGGGAGAAGACTGTTTCACAAGACAGGTGCCATGAGAGAGAGGGCACAATTCCTAGCAAACACCAAATAATGTTGCTTCGCCTATTGGAACCAGGGCATGCTCACTCTGCCCAATCCGATGGGATGAGCAGAAATCAACAGTCAAAGACGGTCCCATAAGTAACCTTGTCCTGTGCCAAGTAGGGCTTCAAAGATAACATTAACATTATGAATAGTATACCAAAGCCTGCAGGAAACCATTGCAGCTCACATAGCAGAGATAGTACATGTATATATTGTGGAGCATCCAATACCTCATATGCCACTGCATTCTGGACCAATTAAAGCTTCTAAATGTTTCCAAGGACCACACATAGCACATTCAATAATCCAGTCAGGAAGTGACTAAAGTATGAGTGACCCATCAGCAATGACTTTGGATCTAGGAATTGGTGCAACTGACACACAGAAGATATAATTGCATAGTTTTCTCACCACCACAGCTGACACTTGCTCTTAAGCAAGAATCCTGAGCCCATGAGGTCTCCCATATTATATACAAACTCTGCCTGGGGTAGTGTTACCCCATCCAGAATCAATGACAGAAAGCCACTAGATACAGGAGAGCCCTAAAACCCATAGCAACATGATCTTATAGAATTGGGCTAAAGCCAATTCTTCTTCATCCAGATCCGCATAGCTTCCAGGCATTGGGGGGGGGGGGGAATATCTCAGGCATAATTTGAGTGACACAGGACAGAGACAGATACCTGAGTATTATCAGTATTCTGTATTAAACGACTTCATGCCAGGCTTCAACCCAGGGTGGAGAAAGGCCATCCTGATCTGATCTGTGTATGTCATAATTAAGACTGTGTATAGATTCCAAAGTACACAATCTTATCAGTTATAATATCTACCATTAGTATTGATATGTAACCCCTAGAAACATTGTTAGGGTATGACTGATCACCAAACTGTTAATTATGAAATGGTTTCAATTTATTCTGTTTACCAGCTCCAAAAATGTAAGACTTATAGCTCTTTTGCTATGCCTTCTCCCTAGCTTTTTCTCCACCCTAGGGGGAAAGCCTACCTGACAACACCCAAAAGAATTGGGTTGATCTCTAGTAAAATCGCAGTAAAAAGGCATACTGTATAGACACTGTATTTATGGATCAAGATCATTTCTGCAAAGCAAGTTAGACTGCTGGATATAATATGGATTTTCAATCTTCTGAGTAGCAATTGTGCATGTAAATAATAACTCCACATAGCTTTTTATTGCTGTGCATGGTTTGTCTGGGACTGCAAAATAGCATTGTGATTATTATTGCAGGTTTTGCAAAGAAAGCTTTTCTGAATCATATTTCTAATCTGCATTTTGCATACCTGAAGTTTAAGATGGCAGACATTCTTTTTTAATTTTAATTTTTTTCAACTTAAAAATGTTATTGTGTCAAATGATATAAAACCTTTGCTCTTCCAAATTATAGCATAATACACAAGCAAATCTACATTTAGAGTACCACTAGCTTGCAGCAAATAATTAACTTTAACTCTATTTTTCTTTGTTTCTTCTTTTAGCTTAATCATTACCCTAATCTGTTTTAGATACAACTAGCCCTCCCTAAAAAAAAATATACTTGCAATGTATATATCCCTAATTTCACAAACCACAATAAATAAGTCAACTTTAAAGAGTTTCATATCAATGTATCCATTAAAGCATAATGAACAGAAAATCTGTAGGATATCAAAACCACTGAATCTATAGAAAGAAACCAGAAAAAAGCCTCTGTTTTATTAGTCCCTGAAATTCAGCAATTATAATAATAATAAAAACCTAAGGGAATACAAGGGAGGGAGGGTGTGGTTCTTAGCAAGATAGCATTGGAACATATTTTCCATAATAATACAAACTAGTAACATAATACTTCTAGGCATATAAACATTATACTTTAATAAAACAAAGACACATAATAAAAAGCACTCTGAAGCATTTCAAACAGAGCTATAAAGAACAACAAAGGCAATCATTACCTGTATCAGTGAATTATACCAGGAGAGTGGAAGATCAAATACTCTTAAAGCTGCTGTCTTCAGAGGAAAATGTGTCTCGTTAGCCACATCTTCTGACATTGCTCCTTCTTTCCTATATCATCATCTATTGATGCTAAGTCCAGATCATATTATTCAGGATAGACAATCTGCCAAAGACAAATATTGGACTAGCTTTGAGACATTCTTTCAATGGTTTAGTTTCAATCAAGAGTACTACAAAAAAAACAAAAATCCTGCATGCAGTAATACACCTTGAATGTTGCGGAAAGTACAATGTTTGAGCTTCTCAAGACTAATTCTAGCTGCCTTTCTATAGCCACATGCCCAGGAATAAGCTCCATTTAACTTAATGGAATTCTGAGTAAAATGAAGATTGTGTTATAAACCGTTACAATCTGAAAAGAAAAATTGCTCAGTCACAGAAGGAAAGGAAGTTATTCTTAAAAAGAGCATATGATTTCGGATATGCTCCTTATCAATTAAAAATATTCATGAGCTTGTAATGTATTTTTTAACTGCCAAAGCAGCTTCCCATAAAGATTTTAATTAGCCTCAAGACACAAAGATATATTAGAGCAAATAATATTGCTGCACAGCCAGGATATACATATACTAACTTTCCTTGGTGTTGCTGGACTGCTAAATCTCTTGATATAATTACCAGGAGATACAACTCCTAAACTCCAAATGAACATTTAGAATTAACAGAAAATGTAGTTCTTGTCACTTCTACAACTGTATTGAAAAGCATGAATTGTTTATATATATATATATAAATGGCTGAGATAGGAAGAGCAAAGAATCTTATAAGATTTCATTGCATATTTCAAACAGCTGTATAATTATATCCCCATGGGTTAGCAGAAGTATCCCTTGAGTCAAGGGTGATAAACAAGATAATGGATGCTTAGGATGATGTAAATATGAAACTGTGGTCATGGATGACAGGACCTTATAATTTTCTAAAATCCCAGTATATTGACCACAATATCTTCATCATCTGCTAGACTGAAGACTTCTTGTCCTGTTTGGGTGAGATGGGTAGCTCTTCTTATACAGAGGAAATAAATCTTTTGTCATTGCTTAAAAAAAAGCAGAATGAACTAATTAAGTTGGAAGGACTTCTGTCAGTTACCTCTGCAGGTATGTCACCCAGCTCTGCTTTAGAGGATGCACTCGTTTCTCGTTGCACCAGTCCTTGCTCTTGCTAGCGGTTTCTGATGGAGCTGTCAGGAGGAGGAAGATGCAGGCAGAGAGAGAAACCATAGAGATAGAAATGTAGAGCAACATGACTCTTGCATAAGAATTTGATTAGTGGTCTCTATAAATATCAAATATTGGCTTATAAAACTTAACATGTCATCCTTATGTTAAAAAGGATTGCAGGAAGAGATAGCAACATGAATTCAGGGGAATCTAATTGGGTTTTTGTCTCAACTGAGGTATGTTTTGCAAGAGATAGTTATTTTAAGAGTATATACAAGTTAGATTGGAACAAAATAGAGACTGTTATCCTATGAGGCTGCCTCAGAAGAAGAATGATTCATACTGTTTTGCTCCATGACATAGGAATAAGACAGCCACCTCAGGAACAGAGCTTAGATACTTTAAAACCCTTAACTTAACTCTGAGTTAAGTTGGGCTTTCATCGTTGATATATTTTAGATGTATTAGTTGCTATTTACAGGAATTCTTGATTTTACTGAAGGAATGGCCAAAATGTAATGCATAAAGTATCTTCAGGATGGGCACATTCACATACCGGAATATCTTATTTCACATGTGTTACACTCGTAGAACATAGAATAACAGGGTTTGGAAGGGACATTGGAGGTCTTCTAGTCCAATCCCCTACTCAAGCAGAAGACTCTATACCATCTGGACAAATGGTTGTCCAAACTCTTTTTGAAAATATCCAATGAAGGAGTAACTTCTGGAGGAAAGCTGTTCCACTGATTAATTGTCCTCCCTGTCAGGAAATTTCTCAATTCTAGGTTAGATCTCTGTTTAATAATCTTATACCCATTACTTCTTGTCCCATCTTCAAGTGCTTTGGAAAAAGTATTGACCCCTTCTCTTCTGTAACAGCCCCTCAAGTATTGGAAAATTAGTCCTTCTTTTCATTAGACTAGGCATAATTAGTTCCCATAACTATTCATCTTATGGCTTAGCCCCCAAGCCCCTTATCATCTTTGTAGCTCTTCTCTACATTCTAGAGTCTCAGCATCTGTTTTTGTATTCTTAACAGAACTGGATGCAATATTCCCAGTGTGATCTTATCAGTGCAATATAAAGTGGTCACGTTATGTGATTCTGATACAAGTAGTCCTTGTGTTACAACCACAATTGAGCCCAACATTTCTGTTGCTAAGTGAGACCCTTATTAAGTGAATTTTGTCCCATTTTATAACCTTTGTTGCCACAGTTCTTAAGCGAATCACTGCAATTGTTGTTAGTAACAGGGTTGTTAATGCATCCCCCATTGACTTTGCTTGTCAGGAGGTTGCAAAAGATGATCACATGACCTGTGACACTGCAACCATCATAAATATGAGTGTTATCAAGAATCTGAATTTTGATGCTGCAATGGTCATAAGTGTAAAAAATGATCATCATCTAAGTCATGTCATGTTTTCAGTACCATTGTAACTTCAAATGGACATTAAACCAACTATTGTAAATAGAGGGTTACCTGTATTATCCCTCGGTTGATACAGCAACTTGTACGTGACCCTTTTTTATTACTCTTGTCTACATTTTACTTAAATTTAATACACTCGGCTTTTCTATTCTTCTACAAATATCACTAAGTTGAAGAGATAGTTGCAGAAATTCCAGTCTCAAATAACTTACCAATTTCAATTTTATACACTTTAAATCAGTTTTGTTTCTATTGAACACAGTGGAGTTTTACTTTTCTACTAGATAGTAGAAAAGAGATGTGGAAAACATTCTTTATGATCATCCAATGGTCATCCAGAATTTGCATTTCATACAAAGTAACCCTTGCCACTGTAACCAAGTCCATCTACCTTGCTGCTGTTTTCTTCTTCTTTCTTCCACCATTTCCATTATTAGAGCCTTCTCCAGTTCTTTTGAGCCTGGCTATTTCTTTTTCAACTTTGGGTTGATTTATTTGACAATCAATTTGTTTCTTGGCTATCCTTGGTATTTTCAGGAGCCTTCTCCAACACCAAAGTTCAATACTCTTCCTTTCCTGCTTCTTCAAAGTACAACTTTTGCTTCATTAAGAGTATTACAGGGAATATTGTGACTTGGATATTTCTTACTGTTATTGACACATTACAATATCTGAATATATTTTCAAAAGACTTGATGGCCATTCTGCCAAGTTATATCTACTCTGTAATGATGACAGGGGATGTTTAATTTAGGTTGAATTATGTATTGGATTCCCTTTGTCAAGAACTGTCCATAATAGGAACTAAGATGGCCCTAAGACTGCATTACATTAAGAAAATTAATTAAAATTAAAAAGAATAACTGTTTCCATATTAGGAAACTTGTAAGCAGTTACGTTTAATATTAGCTATCATGATACAATATGGATTAAATGTCTGCACAGAATAAACTCCCACAGTAGGTTAACTTTGGGGTAGCAGCCAAAAACCGTGAAGACATCCTGGAGGATATTGCTTCTTAATTTTTCTATATTTATGAGGCAGTATTTCGCTGAAGGAAACACAGGCAGAAACGTGTTTCCGAGACCAAAGGAAATGAAACCGAATAAAAAACAAGGCTCCCTACGTAAACTTCTCTTAGAACCGGCCGGCCTTTCGAAATTAGCCTCCTCCTCCTTTCCTCGCACAAGGGATCTAACAATTCCTACCGTCAGCTTTATGCGCAGGCGCGCTCCTACCTGCGTGCTTGTCACCTCCAGGACGGACGGCGCGCCGGCTGAGGAATACCATCGCCGCCATCTTTGCTTTGGGCACGTTCGCCGTCTACGCCAAGCCCTCTCGAGCCCCAGGAAAGCCAGAGACGCCATCTTTGTTGCGGGGCTCAAGGAGAGCTGAGGAGGCGCCGGCGTTCGGGAACCCGCTGGAAAAATAAGGGGGGGAAAAGCGAAGGAAACTGAGGCGTCTCCTCGTCTTTCTCTCTCCTCCAGCGCTCTGGGACGCTTAGGAGACGGGAGGAGGAGGAGGAGGAGGAGGACGAAGAAGGGTAGGAGCGGTGGCTTTGAGATGGAGAGACCGTTAAGGATGTAAAACCTTGAGGTTTTCGGATGAAATTCCACTCCTTGCCCTCAGGACCTTGAAGGGCGTATTCAGGGGACGAGTTTACCTGCTGCTGCCGGTAAGAATTCCATTTTCTTCTTTCAGGAACCAGTTTTAGGCTCTTCCCAGCTTTGTCTCTCTTTCTCTGAACCATAGCTCAAGTCCGGAATCTAGTTCAGAATCGCTTTTTTTAGATGTAAAATGTACGAGGCCGGTCCTTTTGAAGCCGAATACAACCTCTGAACATGTGCAGAGTCCCTTCCTAGATGAAGCCTCGGCGTCTCTAAAGAAAACGAGGCTTCTCCTTGGGGGAAGCATTTACCCCTTGTGTCCAGATAATTTTCTAAGTTTAAAATAAAATAACTCCTGAAGAAGAGATGCCCCCCTTAGATCCAGAGATAAATGAGATTATTTTTTTGGAAACCATAATAATATAACTGAATAATGTTTAATTTAAGAAGATCAAAGATACCCTGTGCCATATATTGTTTTGTACAGGAAGAATAGATACAAGGCTTCAGGGAATGAAAATACGAATGTGTTCTGTTTCATAAGACAGCACTATTATAGAAAATACACCTGGGGAAAAAAAAAGAAATGCAGGTCTCTCAAACCTGTGGGATAAAATATATGTTTGTTGGTGAGGACAGGGAGAGAAAAATTAGAGGATTACCTTTATGTCAGCGTATTGCTTCATTTAATGCTGCCACTTCGTTTAATAAACAGTTGGGAAATTATTCTGTAATGCAGAAGACAATTAAATATAAGGGATGGAAGAAAACTCAGCTGCAGCTTGCAGTAATGCTGGGGCAGCAGTTTTACTGCAAAAAGATCAATCAGCAGAATACACTGCAGAACAGCAAACATGGGTTTGTTTGTTTTAAATTCTCCAAGAATGAAATCAAAATCCAGATATCATAAAGGAGTTCATAGCACTAAATTTAGTCATATTATTTTGGATAATTGGATATACTGAAGTGCTTTGATTTAACACAGTTGATTAAGCATATAATGAGCTGTTGTAGTTGTGAAATTGTTTTTTTTTTATGATACTGAACTGGGGTAAGAATAGAAAGGAAAAAATAGTCAAATTGATTGGGCAACAGTCATCATTTATTTTCTGAATTCTTATTAATGATTAGTTAGCTCAGCTGTTGGTTCTGTTTTTGTTTTTTCAAAGATAAAATTAATATTGCACAAAGGATCCTTATAAATGTATCTCTGAACATACACAGTAGGATTAGTGTAAAGTAGGATTATCCATACGTTTAAAAAAGCCATGAAAATATTCGTGAAAAAATTACAAATTACTCTCATATTGAATATATTAATTTTTCACATTGCATTAAAGGATAAGAGTTAAGAGTTTTGAAAAAAGGGGGAAATCTAATTTGCTTAGATACAGGAAGACTTGGTCAGTAAAACAAGTATTGAAACCATCTGTTGTTTATCAGTGTGTCACATTTACTTGCTGCAATTCTATATATACTATTTGACACTCACAATATAAAGAACAATAAAAGCAAACGTTTTAAAGAAAAATAAAAAAATAAATGCACCTATATTCCAGACCACATTTGGTCTCAGCTGCCAAATCCCCCCCCCCATAGTTACATTTTGAGAAGCTTCTAGATGGCAACTGTAGTTGGAACCAAATGCACTTGTTGGAGATCATTCCAGAGGGCCAGTCCAGCAACAGAAAAACTACACTTCTGAATCTTGGCCCTCTAACTTCTGAAAAATGGAGGACAGCTTGCTGTTTCTCCTGGCATGATCAAAATGATTGGATTGATTCCAGTGGAGAGATGAGTGGTCCAAAGTAACCCAATGCTAAGCCTTAAGAGTTTTATAACTTTAAACCACCATTTTAAAATTGTACTTGAAAGCAGAGAGGAAGCAGGGTCCACAAAATATGTGCAATATGTGCTGTAGCACCCAGGCCATGCATTTTGCACCAACTAAAGATTTCCCATGGTATTTTAAAGGCAGGCTTGTATAGAACATAGTATGACTAAAAGAGAACATCATAAGACCCCAGAAATAAAAATAACATTAACAACACATGAGAAAAAAGAAAGAAAGTAAATAAAATATGGTACAATGCTTAAACTAAAAGAATGTCCTCAAAATAATTCAGAATTTAAACATTTTCCTGAAGGTTAACAAGGTGATGGTCAGCCTGCTCTCTATGATAAGATTATTCCAAAGCAGAAAAGCACAGTCTTCTAGCTTCACACTCCCCCCCCCCCCACACACATCTTGGAAGTATGGGACTTATAAGTAGCTTCTTTCCAAAGAATCCAGTTGTTCAGGTCAATTCCAAGGAAGTGTTTCTTCAGATACGAAGCCATAAAGGCCATTATAACAATATCATCTCTTTAGATAGCTATCCAGCAGCCAATGGGCAATTAGTTCAGGGCCTGAGGACTTTGTGTTATACACCTATTGGTCAGAGCTTGTAGATATGTGGGCTGTTCTAATATGTTGTAAAGCTGCATTGACAGAATCTTGCAAGTCTGAAAGTTCAATCCTCCACCCTGACTCTTTATTATGACTTGAGAAACCAGGGAGGCTCTGTTCTGCCTATTATCTAGTTGTGCACTGTGTTATCTCTTTTCTAATTGTTCCCTTGACAGCATCTCTATGCCCATCTCCCAAGGTTTTCCCCACACATTATTACACATATTCAGGTCTGAACCCTAATTGAAAAAAATCCAAATAATTAACTTCTTCTAAGGTACTGTGAAGTTAGTTTACTATCACTATCTCAACAACCTTCCCTAAAAAGAGAGATTGCAGAATGGACAATAGTTATCTAAACCAGTGTTTTTCAACCTTTTTTGTGCAAAGGCACACTTTTTTCATGAAAAAAATCACGAGGCACACCACCATTAGAAAATGTTAAAAAATTTTAACTCTGTGCCTATATTGACTATATATAAAGTAATTCTTCCACGGCACACCTTACACTATGTCACGGCACACTAGTGTGCCACGGCACAGTGGTTGAAAAACACTGATCTAAACCACTTAGATCTGGGATGGGGTTTTCTCAAGTGGTACACCTTTCTCCTTCAAAACTGCTATTTCTTACATCCTTGCATTTTTCATCTACTACCCACAATAGCCAGGATGGCAAAGGTCCAAAGAATATAGGTAGCAGGAGATAATCTAGCTTTGATAATCCACTTCTTTGAAATGTATACTATCGACCAAAAGGAATCACAAAATAATAGGATATGTTGTCCTAGTTTGCTTGTCTGTTGGATTTACAGTATGTGCCACCCTCTTCAGAGGTGACTTTAACTTTAGTTACATCAAGTACTCTGCCCCTATGAAGTCAAGAATATGGAGAATTTGAGCAACTCTGGGTAAAATGATGTGCAAAATTGCCTGAGTGACCAGGTGACCATTTATTTGAAATGGACAAGATTCAAGACTACATCTATTTTTTAGTTGCATACCTTAATTGAAAACACTATATTATCTGTTTTTTATATAATATTGTTTAAAAACATTAGAAATTAAAAGAAATAGTTTCTCATTGTATCCTTTAGCTCAGCTGCATGTACGTGAGAAGAATGATAATGTAAATCCAAAGCTAACCTAGGTATATTTTGTTAACAATAAAATATATTTAACATTGAAACCAAAGGCACCAAATATTTTTTCCAACAGTATGTTCAACTGCATATAGCATTTAAAAAAAAATTTTTTTTGAGATTTTAGCAAGGAACCCAGATGGGTGATCTATTGAATATTGTCAGCCATTACAAAATCAAGAATTGTAATGAAGGTTAAAATTTAAATGTAGTTAAGCTTCTAGTAATAAAACTCGTATTCTGGTCTGGAAAAAGGCAACTGTGTGCTAAGTTTTAAGAGCAAAGTCTCTCCATGTCATTAATGTATAGGATTACAAAGGATTAGTATTTAATGTTTTACATTAGGTTATGAACTCTTCAAAATATGAATCCCCATTTATATAGAAATGTGAAAAAGAAATAAATACTATATTGAATTACAGTCATCCATGCAGGGGAGGGATGAAATGTACATTGCAACATAATTCTGCCCTTTACATGCTTGTCTGCACTGTCATGGTGCAAATTAAGGTGAAGCTTGTTTTGTGATGTCACAGTACATGTTTCATCATTTTGGCATCATCATGATTTGGAATCAATGTCTATGTTGTAGTATATAGAGCATATTCACTGCTTTTCTCATGTTTTTAACAAATTTTATTTAGATATTCTAGCAAGTTTAGATATTCTTTTTTTAAAACAGGATGTTGTAAAACATAGTATTTGAAAGCAGATTTTTTCAAAGCTTGTTGACACTCCTAAAAGCAATACAGTGGGCATATCCTTTGAAAGACTAACACAACTGCTTTGAAAGTTGTTCCCTTGTTCATACACAAACATACTTTTACTCGGATACCTAACCGCTATGGCTGATGACAACTTATAAAGCAGCAATATTTGGAGGAATGATGATTCATTTGTGCTAACATGTTCTGTGATGTGCCCCTTTTCAGTGCTTTTCACAGCTCTAATCTTCAGATGGTCCATTTTTTGTGTTATTTTATATTCATTCCATAATGCTAATATAAATGATATAAAATTATATAATATGTTTTCATTTTTAATAAAGTTGGCTGCATATTGTTTGTTGTACCAATTACATTTCATAATACTATAATAGTGTTTTGTTCTCGATATATAGATGATATTGTTTATAAATACTTGAACGTGATTGCTGTTAAAATGCCTCAGCAAAACAATGATTGTTCACATTTGGAATCTGTTGGTGAGATAACCAAAGAAGATTTGATACACAAATCTCATGTGAGTTTCTATTTAATAATCTTTTTGTTGTATTCATCTTTGCTTCATTCTTAAAGTCTCATCTTTGTCATTTAACTAAAGTAAATGTATGTTCATTGTTAAAGTGTTATTAAATTAATGTTAGGGAAGAAGTCATGAAGTTTTATTTTATTTATTAAGTGGAGAATGTAGATATCATGTATTTATGGGCTAGAAGTAATAATGTACATTAATAAAAGATTTTGAATGTCATATTTTAGTAACATAATTTTTACATGCTACTAGTTGAAAAATCAAAATAAGCATCTTTAAAATAATAGTTTTCTTAAGTTGTTATGCAATAAATATTTAGTATTTCTAGTATAACAATAGTTTTTCTTCTTTGTTCCATATTACCATATTTTTTCGAGTATAAGACGCACCAAGGTTTTGAAGAAGCAATTTTTTTAAAAAAAGTAGTTAGGTAGATAGAAGGATGGAGAGAAAGAGAGAGAAATACAGTAGGTAGATAGGGAGAGAGAGAGTAGGTAGGTAGATAAAGGGATAGAGAGAGAGAGAAATACAGTAAGTAGATAGGGAGAGAGAGAGTGTAGGTAGGTAGGTAGGTAGGTAGGTAGGTAGGTAGGTAGGTAGGTAGGTAGGTAGGTAGGTAGGT